TCATCCAGCTCTACACCTCGTTATCGCAAGAATGGGTGAGATGTTTGTGAGAATGGACACTCCATATTCCAATGAATGCTAAATGACTATCTGATTGCGGAGTTTTTTTCTAATTTCATCAGGAATGTTGATTTTATATGTTAAAATAAACTTAATAGAAAAGCATGAATTAGTGGGTTATTATTGAACAAAGAGAGTTTAACATGGTATTATCAGTTGAACAAAGTGTCAGTCATAGGTATCAATCTGCTGAATCACATTCTTGATGGATGACTGGATAACATGGTAATCATCAATCTTCATGAGTAATTCAAACAGCCTAACACAGACAGCTAATTAAGCCATTGTTGTTCTATTCAATTGTAATTGGCTTAGGCGACTTAATTGGCAGAAGAACCAGATGCAAGACGAGAACTTTTTTTAACATTGCTTAACATTTTTTAATATTGTCATCTAGAATTCATAGACAGTAAGAGTGGAGGATGCAGACTCCGTAGTAACTTTCAAAGAGAATCAGAATATATAGTTTAAAAGAAAATAACAGTTGCAGAAAACCAGGAAAGAGACAGGGAATAGGATTAATTGGATAACTCTTGTAAGAAGTCAATGCAGGCACCATGGGCCTGCTTCTGTGTCAGGTTGTTCTATGATTCTGAAATGGGATCCTAGGATTGTTTTAGTTTTGCCTGGAACCAATTTCTGAAATTCCATTTTTTTTGTAACTTCTGTGACAATCACATCAGGGCATCATCTCCATCCTCCTATTGGCTCCCTGTCTGGCAGTGATGCCATCTTAAAATTCACATTCTTTTCAAATCGTCCCCCTCTCCAACCTCACCCCATCCACCCCCACCATTTCTCTTTCCCCTCCTGACCGTTTTAATCTCCTCCAATCACATAAACCTCTGACATCTCTGCATTCCTCTAATTCTGCTCTTTTGCAAACCTATGATTTCTACTGTTCCCCTGATTGGCGGCTGTGCCTTCAACTATCTGATCCTAAGCTCTAGAACATAGAACATAGAACATAGAACATAGAACAGTACAGCACAGTACAGGCCCTTCAGCCCACGATGTTGTGCCGAACTTTTACCCGAAACCTAAGGTCTATCTAACCTCCACGCCTACCTTATACTGTCATCCATACGCCTATCTAATAGCCGCTTAAATGCCCCTAATGAGGCCAACTCCACTACCCTCTCTGGCAATGCATTCCACGCCCCTACCACTCTCTGAGTAAAGAACTTACCTCTGACGTCTCCCCGATATCTACCTCCACTCACTTTAAAACTATGCCCCCTCATAATAGCTACCTCCACCCTAGGAAAAAGTCTCTGGCTGTCTACTCTATCTATACCTCTGATCATTTTGTACACCTCTATCAAGTCACCTCTCACCCTTTGACATTCTAAAGAGAAAAGCCCTAGCTCTCTCAACCTTTCCTTGTAAGACCTTCCCTCCATTCCAGGCCACATCCTGGTAAATCTCCTCTGCACCTTTTCCAATGCTTCCACATCTTTCCTGTAATGAGGTGACCAGAACTGGACACAATACTCCAGATGTGGCCGAACCAGGCTTTTGTATAGCTGGACCATAACTTCACGGCTCTTGAACTCAATCCCTCTATTCATGAAATCTAACACACCATACGCCTTCTTAACAACTCTATCCACCTGGGTGGCAGCTTTCAGAGAACTGTGAACATGAACCCCAAGATCCCTCTGCTCCTCCACACTGCCAAGAATCTTTCCGTTAACCCTGTATTCTGCTTTCAAGTTTCTCCTTCCAAAATGAATCACCTCACACTTTTCAGGGTTAAACTCCATCTGTCACTTCTCAGCCCAGCTCTGCATTCTATCAATGTCCCTTTGTAACCTAGAACAGCCCTCAGCACTACCCACAACTCGACCCACCTTCGTATCGTCTGCAATCTTGCTAATCTACCCTTCCACTCCTTCATCCAAATCATTTACAAAAATCATAAATAGAAGAGGACTCAGAACTGATCCTTGTGGTACACCACTCGTAACTGAGCACCGTGTTGAATATTTTCCGTCCAATACCACCCTTTGTCTTCTAAGGGTCAGCCAATTCTGAATCCAATCTGCCACATTTCCCCCTATCCCATGCCTCCTTACCTTCTGCATGAGCCTACCATGGGGAACCTTATCAAACACCTTACTTAAATCCATGTATACCACATCCACTGTTCCACCTTCATCCACGTGTTTGGTCACCTCTTCAAAGAATTCAATAAGGTTTGTGAGGCATGATCTACCCCTCACAAATCCATGCTGACTATCACGAATCAAACTGTGCCTTTCCAAGTGATCAGAAATCCTGTCTCTCAGAGCCCTTTCCAATAATTTGCCCACCACTGATGTAAAACTAACTGGTCTGTAATTTCTGGGATTATCCCTCTTCCCTTTTTTGAACAAGGGAATGACGTTTGCCACTTTCCAATCTTCCGGCACTATACCCGTGGACAGTGAGGACGAAAAGATCATCGCCAAAGGCCCTGCGATCTCGTCCCTCGCTTCCCATAGAATCCTTGAATAAATCCCATCAGGCCCGGGGGACTTATCTATCTTCAACTTCCTCAGAATTCCTAAATTCCCTCCTAAACCTCGCTACTTCTTTCTCCTCTAAATCAGTCCTTCTGATCTATCTGGTTGACCAAGTGTTTGGTCATCTGATGCATCTTGATGTGGTTGGCTGTTAAATTTTGTTAAATAATCATTCCTATGTAGAGACTTGGGAGATTTAACCACATTAAAGACCACCAAATAAATACAATGTCTTTTTTGTTGTGATTTGATCAGCCAGTTGTGTTTCTCTCCTTCAGGTTGTTTCTTCAGTATTTCTCCACTGATGCGAGACAACTGAGTGACAATGAGGCTCAATCCATGCTCTCTGCTGCAGACAGTGATGGTGATGGTAAAATCAGGTTTGAGGGTATGTTTAAACACTATTTAAAGAAAACACAGCCCAGACCAAATGACTTCAGCATCTGTTCACTTGGGGAATAGTGATACATGTGCAAATTTGCTTCTCAGCTGAGGGTCACTCTTACCTTGAGTCACTTCTGGAATTACTAATAATGAACATGTGAATTGTTGGACAGTTTACATTTATTTTGATTTTAACTTACAGTTTTTTAAAGAATTATTTTTGTTGATGTGTCATTTTTTGCTTTTATGATAGTTCAAACACCACATGACATAATCCAGACAGACACTACAGTGTGGTACTGAGGGACTGCTTCACTATTGGAGATGTCATCTTGGATGAAATGTCATCCTGATGCTCTATCTGCCCTTTCTAGAAGATGTGAATC